CATGGGAAGACACTGCTCCTGCCCCAAAGACTTTACAGTCCAAACAAAGTAACTATTACTTATTTAGCTTCATAAAGGTACACAGTATCTGTTCTTTGTCTCTTCAGATGAGAAGTTATTCAGGCAGGAACTGTACCCTCTTCTAGTTGTACAGCACCTGGCACAATAGGGCTCTGATGGTGATTGGTCTTTGGGTGCTGCCCTTATATATATATATATATTTTAAATGACAATTGAAATTGCAGATGCTAGACTTTTTTATTCTGTTGCCTACAAGGCCCGAAACTCCAGGAAGATCACAAGCAACTCCAGACCTGTCATTCTTGGGGGTTCTCCCTTTTCCTGATATTGTATCTCACTTTTTCCTCTTTTCAATGTGTGTGTAGCACTTGCAGTCTAATTGCAAGCGTGAATCAAAAGTATTAAAGCTGCTTTAGTGATTGGTTCATGTGGGGCCTCATAGCAATCCAGTCTGCTCTTCCCATTCAATATGTCACTTAAGTGACAGTCCTGGTCACAATATTTAATTGCACAAGGAAGTTGGATTCCTTAGGTTGCTCCTCAAAACTGAATCCTCATCTGGCAATACTACCTGCTGCCTCCATTTGGCTGTTACTTTGCAGGACTTTCAATGCAGATCAGAGCAGCACAAGTTGCTAAAACATCCTTGATTGATGCCTTGCCACGTCAGGGCATACATTACATTTTTTTGTATTTTGCATTTATTAATTAATTCAGGATTTTATTCTTTGTAAAAGCGAGAAAGCAGAAATATCTGCCATACATTGTAGTGTAACTTTAAATACCAGATGCATTTACAATTCATATTTATTTTTAATTTTCCTTCTAATTTTCTCCATAACATAGGATTTTGATAGTATGTAATTTAATTGAATAATAGACTGATGAATAAGGATGAGACTATAAAGTGTCATATCAATGACAAAATATTCAGCTTGTTGTCTCCTGTTGTCATTTTAAATAATGCAGCAAAGCCCACTTTAATGAATTTTTATGTAAGATTAATCCTCCAAAAAAGAATACATTTAGTACATGTTAATCTCTACAGTCTTTATTTACAAGGAAATCTTTAATATCTGCCATGGGAATAAAACTGTTAAAGTAAACAGGATATTTATTAGTCTACCTATATAAATATTGAGGGTTATAAGACATGGTCTCTGTAATTTACATGAAAATATCTTCAGGTCATCTCTGCAAATCAGAGTTCATACTTTTATCTGGTATCCTCCCACTTACGGGCCATATTCTGGGTTTGGATTACATCCATAGGTCTCCCATTGAAGCTAGAAAGTGGCTCTAATTTAGTAAATGCACAGACCTGCTTCTAATTAGGATTAGCTCTTTTAGAATTTAAAAATGCTCACAGGAAACTCCCCACTTTCCTCATGTAACTGTTCAGGGCTCAAAACCCCATCTCTAGTTACACGTATTGGCAGAGTCTATTACTCTATCTTTCTAGATGCATAACTGCTATTACTGGTAATGGAAGTTACTGTAGTGATGTATATCAATGGGAGAACAGATTCCAGGGAATAAATATTTTCCCAAGAGACTTTAAAAAACCCCAGCAAACCAAAAAAAACCCCCAAACCCAAAAACCAATGATGCAGAAAAGCAGCTGCACATTATTAACTCAAAAACCAACCAAAACAACTTCTGTGCAAATCAAATGATGAATTTACCACAAATAATTGTATTCATACTAATTGTTTTAAATTAGAGATGATCCCAAACTGAAATTTGTATTCCACATACCCTGAAAGGATGGACATGCAGAATGTGGAGAAGCTCACCCAAACTCCCTGGCCACTAGGAGCTGCGCTAGGCCAGCATAAACACTACCATTTGAATAATATACAGTAGTTAATGAATGACACTCAGAGCTGGGCATATACATCCTTGGCAAATAAATAACAGAAATGTACAGTACATGGAAGAACATTATTTGCTGAATACTATCCCTCTCTCTCTCTCATGGCCCAGAGCTGCCATTCCTAAATGACCATAGTTTATTGTGTCTACACAGTATTTGAAAAATTACATATTATTCTTTGAAGTGTTTTTCTGCAAATTTTCATTCACTACATCTTGGCCTTCCAGTTTGTTCTTTTCACACCTTTTCCAAGCTTTCTCCTTCCCAGCTTATTTTTAAAAGCCTTGTGGTCTCTGACAGTTTACTATAGTGCCCTGTGTATCCCTCCTATATAGCTGCAGTTTGTTCAATGAAATGCCCAGTCCTGTTCCTTCTGAAGACTTCAGTGGGAAGAGGAGCACCACATAAGACTTACAAACAGAATAGAAATGGCATTGCTATCACTAATTACTCTGTGACATAGGCATGTGTTTTTAATTTAAAACTACTGGGAACCTTAAATATGCACTCAGAGGGTCTTCCTCGCATTCTCCTGTTGGGGACCAAGGGGGATATAGCAGTTTTAAAATTCCCAGTTCTCCATTGGCTGAGCCCCCAGTCCTAGGGAAATCCATGTCTACACTACAATTAAACACCCACGTCTAGCCCATGTCAGCTGACTCATGCTTGCAGGGCTCAGGCTGTAAAACTGCAGGTTAGACATTCGGGCTTGGGCTGGAGCCTGAGCTCTGAGACCTTCCATCTTCCTGGGGTCCCAGAGCTCAGGCTGCAGCCTGAGCCTGAAGTCTACACCACAGTTTTACAGCCTGAGCCCTGCAAGCCTGAGACAGCTGACATGGGCTAGACGTGGGTGTTTAATTGCAATGTAGACATACCATGGAGGCCAGGATCATCTATATGTTGGCCCTGTACCTCCAAACTGCTTCTTAGCCTCCCCATGTCCTCGCCTCCCTCTATGTCAGGAAACATCCAAAGGTGCCATAAACCCAGGTGTTCCCACTGCACCAGCCATAGGGGTTTCACATCATGGATGAGGAACATTCTTTAAAATAATCCTGATTTAGAAGGTGAATCCCTGCAAGGCTGAGAAAAGGACAATGCTTTAAAATGTTCCCTGTCTCCTCTGGCCTGCCACCTCTCCAGTCCCAGATGCAAATCATCTGGTTTTCTGACAAAGGGGATTCTGCAGGATTGGGGGAATATTTTGGGGAAAGCTGTTTCCATGTTTATAGTTTCTCCTTTTTCCTGATCCATTCCATCCCCGCTATCCATTCCATTTGTGGCAGCAAAGAGAATGCAGTAGTAGAGGGAAAGCAAGTGGCAACTTTTTTCTATAGTTAGGCTGTACGAGTTTGATAAATCTTCTGGTCAAATTTTGATTTTTACTGTTAATTTTCATTTTAGCTTTCCAGACAGTTTTCTTTTAACTAATTTTACATTCCTTCAAGGTCTGCCTTGTTGGGGTCAATATTGTGTTACTGCCTTTTCGACAGACTCATCAACATTACGTATCTGATGCAAAAAAAGCCAAATTCTGCCTTGCAGCAGTCTTATTTATCTTACTCAGCTCATTTCCAATAGGTAAACCTCCAAAATATACATTCAAAATATAAACACTTGGCAGTTCAATGGTCTGTAGGTCTGTCTAGCTGACCATGCATGCTTTAACACACTTCAAACATACATGAAGGGGGAACAACTTTCAGTTCTTTTATAAAGTGTAGAAATTAGCATGTGGGCTGACTACTAATAATTATTCTGTGTACTCCTATGACAACTCTCATCTGAGGACCTCAAATTGCTTTCCAAACAGTAAGCCTTAATAGCCCCGTGAAACAGATAAGTAAATCCATGTTATGTCTGGGTCAGCAGACAAAGATTAAGTGACCTGCCCAAGATGTCAGTGACCCAGAACCTCAGCTGTGGCAGAAGAACACACAGCCCAGCCAGGAGGAAGTTTGTTCTCAAGTGGCTTTAGATCATCTTTGTGCTCCCTTGATCCCATGAAGGCTGTGTGCCAGGCCGGGTCTCTGTGGTAATTGGAGCAGCCTAGAGACTGCTCTAAATTATACCAGCTGACAATTGCTCAATGGACCATTAGAGCTGCCAGTGATTACTGGCATGCAGTGAAGCCTTGGCCATCTACCCTAGTGCCATTTTGTCAGCTCTGTTCCATTGACGGATCCTACATTGGCTTTAGGACTACTTTCCACCAGTGGAGTGGCGCAAAGCAACAGATAAGGTGGGTCCAGTGGCAGAGACAAGAACAGAACTTGGGAGTTGCAGTTTCCACAGTCTGGCCCTCGTGCCAAGGAACAAAGGAAAACTGTTAACTAAATTAATAACAGGTTCACTTTGGGCTTAATTCAATGGATGGATAAAGCATTTAGCTCTGTTAGATTATGGCCAGTTCACGCAGCCTTAGTAGTATAACTACATTTCAGTACAATTTACTTATTTAATCTAATGCTGACATTTCACCCCTGAAAGCTGCTGTCGTAATGCTTTTGATGTTCATACCACTATACACTCTCCTGTGTGAAGGGCAAGGGACATTCCAAAGTGAGAAAACATGATTTCTGTCCCCAAACGAAGTCTCACTGCATAAGTGGTCACTTGCTCTATTGACCTCACAGTATGTCATGGAGTTTAAACAAAATGATATCTGCATATCAAAGGCTCCTATGCTCCATCAATATTCAATACTCCATAATACATAAGAGCTACTTAGCAGGATGTAAGAGGAAATAGAAACATTATACAAATTCACATAGTATCTGTGGCCAGGGAAATTAGGTGCATTAAATTAAAAACAAAACAAAACTTTTTTCAAAATTATGGGTTTCAGAAGTTTAAGGAAAACCAATTGCTGCAGGAAAGCATGTTTCTATGCCCTTATAAATACCCCAAGAAGTGCTCAACCTTGTCAGACTGTTACTTCCGTCATTCCGTGAAAGGTCAGTGAAAGCTTAGGTTATCTGTCACATAATTCCTGGTCACGTCCTGTTTATCTCGTATACCCCGTATTTCAAAATATTGTTTATATATTTTTCATTTATCATTTTGACAGCACTTGTGTTGCTTGTTTCCTCCCTCACGCACACTGACCAAAAAACAGATGCAATTATCACTGCCTACAGAGACAAAGGATTACTGTGCTGATGATTACTGCTTTACTAATTACAGGTAAATGTTCAAAAGGTTAAGTGAAGTTTGGTTTCATATCTGAAACTATCCAAAGTTGTTGAGCCAGCATCTTCCTCTCATTGCCTATGAATCTCTTTTTGCTTTCTGTGGATGAAGAGCACATGCATTTGCAATTCAGAAGCAGTTGGGGCGAAGCAGAAAGACTATGGACACTTCTGAAACCCATAATTGTGTCTTCAGTTGTGAGGTAAGTGATATTGTCTATACTAAAATCATGAGTCGGGGCCCCCAAAATTGTGGGATTGACTTAAAATCATGAGATTTTAAAAATAAATCTGGGTTTCTTTTATTTCTCCTCTGGGTTGGAGCCTTAAGCGGATTAGATTTTCAAGTTCTCTACAACCATGAGGGCTAGAAATTTAATTTAATTTTGTAATTAAAATTAAGAGAGTCTCCTATAATCCAATAATTCTAGGAACTGGAATTTAAGAAAAAACACCAAATATTGTGAGATTCGTGATAAAATTGTGCCTGTTGGTAACACTAGGTGGAGAGATTGTCACTGGAAGCAGAAAGACAGAACATATGGAAGATCTTATGAAAGGAAGGAAGCTAGTGAACAGGAAAGAGCTATGTGTTAGAAAGGAAACAAAAAGCCTTATTGTGAATGGGGAGGGAACTTCAGCTATGCTGAGTCAGTAAAAGTGTTAGAGACCTTCACTAAAAGGGACTGAGATCTAAATAAAGGTTACGTATTGGTTTAGTTGGGAGATGTGTGTACATTTGAACTAGCTATTCTTGTAAAGCAATTTTCACATTCTTAATCTTTATATTAGAGATGAAAGAGATCCATTAAGATCCCCCCCCATCATGAACATCACAATTAAATGCTGCATAACTCATTTACCAATGGAGCTGGATGTGTAAGTGTCCTCCCCCCAAACAAGATCTGCTTATACTTCCCTTTGTGCGGAATTGTAATCTTGCCTCCATTATCCCTGAACCCAGTTAATACAAATTATTTTTGTCAAAAATGTTCTGACATTTGTCTAAAAATGGTGCTGAATGTCACAGAAAATGTTCCTGCACCCTGATAATCCACTTAGACCTTGGTCCCACTGAAGTCAATGGGAGTATTTACATTGACTTCAATGGGTTTTAGATGACGTGCTTACAGCCAGTGTAGAGATGCAAGTCTCCAGCAGAATTGTTGTTCCCCTCCCACACACAGTTTAATCCCAATTTTAGACTAAGGGGCCCTGAAAAAATGCATGCAGCAGCATTAACAATGATTTGCTCTTCTGAAGTTACCTTGCAGCAAAGGGACGAATTAGCAAAAATTCATCCTTTAGCTAATGGACAGCTCCTTGTATACTCCCAGCTTGGACCTCTACCTCCCCTCTCACCCCACCCCGTAAAATGGGACGCGTAAGGATTGTACAGTATATTAACTGTTTATGCCAGAAAAATTACATTGTGTCTGTTCATAAATTGGATACAGCATTTCACTAGGGCATTCTGAAGAGTACATTTATTAGAAGGCAGGTTTTGTTGCATTCTGCATCTTCAGTTATCAATTTATTACTAATCGAGAAAGATATTACATTTTTTCAATTAACAAAAATGCACACACTCTAGCTACTGTAACCCAAAGTAGGGAAAATGCATTAAGGTGCGGTAGGAGATGGAGTGAGGGGAATTAAATGGTTATTTTTCTCAATATTGGTACCACAACTTTATAGTTGAATTTCACTATGAATAATTGCTTCCTGATGGTTTTTGTTGAGTAGTTTTGTTCAATAAGGGATTGTCAATACAATTTTACTCTCAATTGTCAGTTTATACAGTATCAAGAATAATGGGCTCATTCATTCAGGTGCATATGGAAATTATCATAAAATATTAATTTTGAGGAACAATGACATTGCTCATCTGATTTAATATCTGATTCTTACATTTGATTTTATTTAAGAGGCTCTCTAATAAATGTGGACACCACAGTAGGTACCAGGCAAACTTTGTTTTAGACAGTCAGCCTGTCAAACACCCCACAGGCATCATCTCTTTTGTGTAATCTCCTTTGTTTGGGACAGTACTGTTGCCATTATTCATTCCAAACTTGTATCTAACTTACTGCCCAGTATCACTTCTAGCTTTCCTTCAGCTTTAGTGCTGTTTTGGATTATTTTTCATTGGCTCTATTTGATTGACTCTAGGAAAATGCAATCTCATTTGTTTCCTGAACATAAATAATTTTTGAGGCTCATGAGAGCAAATGCTGTTTAGCCTCAATGCTTCTACTTTCCTTAGCTGTAAAATGGTTGAATACTTGCCTAACATAGGGGTTGGGAGGATTAATTAGCTATTGTTTGTACAGCACATAGAAAAAAAGATATAAAACATAATTTCTGCCTCACCGCCCACACCAGAGGCTGTACAGGTCATGCCATAGGACCTACTCCAGGGGGCTTCAGCCAGATTTTCTGGGGCTGAAAGTCCTACTCTCACCTCTTCCCATTTAATTTGGACACCAAGTAGTGGTTCTGGCTGCTAAACAAGGATCCTGTCATAGCCTCTCCTCCTGACTTACATCTTCACTCATTACTATCAGAGAAGAATCTGGAGACCAGCTATGAGGGAAGACACTGACAATGTTATCTGTCTTTCTCCACTCTATAGCAGCAGGATCAGCCATCTGTCTTTTAAGTCTCCAATGATGAAAGTAGGGAAACTGAGAATATGGGTGTAACTAGCCAATACACACTATTTCCTGTCATGTGACGGGGTGTAGACATATATAACCCTGACCCATGTAACTAGGGTTACCATATTTCAGCAAGCAAACAAGAGGATGGGAGGAGCCCCGCCCCCGTCCTGCCCTGGCCCCGCCTCTGCCCCTCCCACTTCCCCCCCTCAGATCCCCCAACCCTCCCCCCACTCCTTGTCCCCTGACTGCCCCCTCCTGGGACCCCTGCCCCTAACTGCCCCCCAGGACTCCACCCCCTACCTAAGCCTCCCTGCCTCTTGTCCCCTGACTCGCCCCCTCCTAA